ATAGCTAGAGGCTTTACATTTCATTATTTGTGGGTTAAAATTCAAACATTAGCTCTACAATCATTTTCCTCACCTAATTTTAAATAAAGGATAAGAAGTACATTGCAGTACTTGATTGCTGGACAAATAGCTGTGCTGGTATGTTGAGAATAAACTTGAAAGGGCTTTTCTTGCCATCACATATGGTTAATTGTTCAGGGATTAAATAGAAGGGCTATTCTAAAGCCATTTAAGATGGCAGATTAGAATTGAGCAGGCTTCTCTGTTTTCCAGAGGCTTTCAATAACTTTGTTCTTTTCTTTTTCCTCTTGGACTGCAGGTTCCTGAAGCGGGTTTCTGAGAAAATGGGCGAGATGTTGAAGGAGGTTACATGCAGCTGCTTTTGGGGGAGGGCATTAGGCTGGGAAGCCTAGCAAAAAGAGGGAAAAGCAAGTTGCATGAATGCATGCAGACATACATTATTCACTAACATTCTCAGCATTTCCATACGTATAATTAGGAACGTTACAAATTCTTAAATTTCTGAAGCAAAAGAGAACTCCATTATGGCAGAATAGAAAGGCAACCAGATTTAAAATACTTCAGTCTCATTGTCCTGAGTTTTGAAAGATGGACAGACTATTCATCAGTTTCTATTACATTTTGGCTGTCTCAGCTGTCGTCTTTTCCTACCCCATTTTAATTGGCAGTCAGAAACATTGCATTTGTCCACATCTGCCAGTGCCACCTCCATGCTCGCCCTAACCTCCTCCTGCATGTCTAGAATTGTCAGGCATGTCTGCATAACACTTTATTATGTCCATTGCTTCTCATTTTATTTTGCATTTCTAGCAAAACCACTTCGTTTAAATATTTACAGCACTAAAGTTTTCATTCCAGTGTCCATGTATGCTGCTATAACTATTCCAATGCAAGAATCTTTACATTCCAGTTTTCTTGGCATTATAACTGTTGTAAACCTTTATGTATTTATGTTGGTTTGGGGAAAAGACTATATCTCAGCTCTAGCCCGATGCAGGCCCAGGATCATCAAGAACCATGGTCCATCTTCAGCACTTCAGTAACCTATTGTGAGCACTGAAAACCTGGCATAACAATAAAGAGATTCACCACTACAAGACAAACGACTGTTTTCAGAAGTCAACTGCTTGCCATTCAAATGCTGCCTTAAAACTAGAGAGTGCCTAAATCTGTTGATTGCCAATTCTACCACTCCAGTATCCCACAAAGGGCTTTTGTCTCAGCTCAGTATGACCTCCTGTAACTCTTTCCAAAGTGCAGCAGCTGCTGAGGTAGCCATGGTAGGTGTTTTCTAGAGCTCTACCTTAACGTGATACATGGTGCATCATAAATTTTATGCATTGAAACTAAAGACATCTGCTCATTTTACTTTAATGAATTTTTATGGAAACTTTGATTGTTTTTTAATTTTGGGTTTTGAGGCTCCAGTGGTAGTCTGTTCCTAGGTGATGCTTCATTGTATGAACCAGTTGAAATTTGAGTGATACTTTGTAATGATCTATGTGCACTTTTACTTGTAAACAGTTGACATTTGGATATGTTTCTACATGTAAATATAGCTGTCTGCAGTGCCCCTGTTGCTTTTGGTGTCTTTTCTCCCATTTGTGATTCTATTAATAAAATAAATCTTACCTGATTCAGTGGGGAACACTAGAATAGGGGATATAGGGGGAGGGAAACTTCTATCATTTAAAGCTTCATAAGCCCAGCCACTTGCTGTTTGGGGAACGAGATGATAATCTCTCTGATGGGGTTTGAAGCAATACTTGGACACAGCAGTGCTGGATTCTTTTTTAAAAAAATGAAAAATTCAGTGTTGTTAGAAATTGTACTACCAGTAATACTAAATCTGAGTGATTTCTTGTGTGGATGTGTATTCCTTTGTTATGTATACCACTATTACACAGCTGACCTAGTGTATTACATTTGGGGGCTATTGATCTGAAGTTTAGATTTTTGAATATTGTATACAGGGTTATTTATATAAGGTGATATTACTCAATACTGACAAACTACATAATGTAGTTTTTTTTTTTTTAAACAGTGCTTTTTTATTTTAAAGGTAGAGAAGGGGTGGAAATGTGAGCTGATTTTTCAGCTAAGAAGCCTGTGGTTTACCTGATTTAGCAGCCTCACAGGTAAAGAACTAACTGTTCTTCTCATGCTACTGTTTGTTTTTCCTAAAAGGAGAATTTGCTTCCTTTAGAAGCAAATTGCTTTCATAAGGGATAGTGCAACCTGTATGAGGGTTATTAAAATGGGGGGGGGGGGATTTGTACTTGCACAGCTAGTTCTAAGTCATTCTGAATTTTTGAACATGAATTGTCTTAATCTTACATTTTCCCAGTAATTTTTAATCTTTTTGTGCACAATTTGATTTCTTAAATGTTAAATGCTTTGTTTAAAAATAGTGTTCTCTGTTGAGAATATTTTAATGGAATAAAAACTTTTCATGGTCAAAATAGCTTTCTTTGTCTTCTGTTATGAAACCATCACATCTTTTTTATACTTGTATGTTAGACAGTCATTGTCACCCCCTATATTCTTAGATATGTTGCAAGTTGTTGCAGTGACTTTTAGATCTACTTGTGGAATGAAGAACAACGGTGGCAGAATCTAGCTCTGAGCTGCTGAAATATCTATGTAAACCTCTGAACATGAAGTTCAGTGACTCTGTGCCACACTGACAATTGTGGCTACAGTTTTATTTATATAACAGTTTGTGCTGGAAACTTACATATCACAAGAAACTTCCTCTGGGTGGGTGGGTTTATATATTATGAGTTTGTGTTGCTGCTAGCAAAGCTGTCTTGAACATAAGCTTGTTTCACCTCTTTTTTTAAATGTGGCCAAGTCAGGTGTTCCTGACTGATTTGAAGTTTTGGATTGCCACGTGAGCCCAATTAAATCCCCTGAGGCAGTAGTTCCCAACCACTGGCTGGTGGAACCGGACACCTGGCAACCCTAACTACATTAGGCCAGTGATTCCCAACCGCCCGTCCACGAACTAGTGCCAGTCTGAAAACTGCTGGCTGCCAGGGCGTGGCAGCTGTGGGGGGCGGAGCTGGGGTACATCACCCAGCCAGTGTTCCCTCTGAGGCCCGCCCACCTCTTCAACAGAGCCAGGCAGTGGCTGCTCAGATGCTCCAGGGCAGGGCCGAATGGCAGGCAGCTGCCCTGCCCCAGGAGCAGCAGGGCAGCCACTACATGGCCCTAGCTTCAGTGCCTCCCCAGAGCTGGAGCTGCAGGCCACGTGGCATGTGGCTGCTCTGGTGGCTGGGGCCAGAGACACATGGTCCCCTGAGATAATGGGGCTCTGGAAACGGCTGGTGAAGGGAGCTGGCTGAAACCAGCTGTTTGCAGCAGCTTTGGCTAATGGAATATAAATAAAATGTTACTGGTCCACCAAAAGTGTGTGAAGGTGTTTGTTGGTCCGTGGTGTAAAAAAGGTTAGGAAGCACTGCCCTGAGGGATTTTTAAAATGTATACTCATTAGGGCACTTCCACAATTAAACAACCTGCCATAATTATCACTGTTTCTAATTGGTTATTTAAATCCGGGCTGGGGAAACTAAGGTCCAGGAGCTAGATGTAGTACCCATCTTACCTGGCTATAGCCCCCAAGATTTCCCCTAGGGGCTAGAGCACAAAAAATCTACTATCCTCCCTCCGCACCCAGGGCTCTGGTGTGCGAGGGTAATGTGGGGGCGTATCTTCCTCCCTCAGTCAGGGAACCACATCCATGAAGGATTTTTTGTTTACTTCCTACTTGTGTGTGTGTCCCCCAGCTGACTGACTTTTCTGTAGGTCAATAGCCCCATACCCAAAAAAGTTCCCCACCTCTGATTTAAATGATTGGCATTTTAGAGGCTTGGCTTTTGATCCTAACACATTAGGGCTATATCTACAGTGGCAGCTTCTTGCGCAAAAACTTGCCTGCTGTCTACACTTCACGTGCGTTCTTGCGCAAGTAAATTTACAGTACAGCGTTGTAAAACAAGGCTTCTTCTGGAAGAGTTATTCCTCTCCCCACGAGGAATAAGCCCTCTTGCGCAAGAGCCCTTCCACAAGAGACCAGTGTAGACAGGCAACATGAATTTATTGCACAAGAAGCCCCTATGGTTAAAATGGCCATCAGAGCTTTCTTGCACAAGAGAGCAGCCACACTGCTGTAGATGCTCTTGTGCAAAAGCACATGCCAGTGTAGATGCGCTCTTGTGGAAGACTTTTTGCACAAGAACTCTTCTGCAAAACAATTCATGCACAAGAAGCTGCCAGTGTAGACGTAGTCTAGCAGTCTCCACTTCCTAGTGAGAAAGCAAGGTAGTGTACCAGATAGTGGTTGCTGGTGGTGATGGAGAAGAGGGCTTGTATAAAGTGTGAGGTCCCAAATGGCATTGAACTTCGTTTATATTTAAGTGTGGCCCAAGAGCTGCACAGTGGTTATTACAGACTCCTCTGCTCTTATTACTGGTGCTGTAGTTGAGTGCAGGGATTTATTAACTGAGAAATAAACAAATAGCAACTCCACACTTCAATGATTGATTATTTTTATGTGAGTCCTTATGAAAAGCCAGACTCTCACTTCTCTGTACTTTTGGAGGGTTTTTTTTTAAATAATCCCAAAGCACTAGAGTTGATTTCTCTTGCAGCAACTGATTTCATTTGACCATCAATATCACTAAAATATGGGAGAGGCATATTAATCTGAGAATGGAAATGAGGCTTTTGCATCTACCCTTTGTAAAGTACATGCGGCCTAAGGAGGAAATGCAAAGTTCCATATACCCTCGGTAGTTGTTTAATCACCACTCCTGCAACTCCTATTGCTCAGTAATGGGGAACTGCAGCCAGTAAAAGCTGTGGGCTCAGTGCCCTGTAGATGAAGGGAAGCACATGGAGCCATTGCTGTACATGCCAGCTGCTTTCAGGAGTGGTTCAGGGCCGGGGCAGGAGTAAGCCTGCCTTAACCCCACTGCTTCATCACTCGGCAGCCATATCAGTTAAATGGTGCCCAGACAGCAACTGCTTCCTGAACCCTTATCCTACCCCAGAAACCTGGGCCCCAATTCCCCACTCCAGGCTAAGACTGGAGCCCCTCCCACACTTTTGGCCCAAAACCAGAGCCTGCACCTCAACCCCCCAGCCCAGCCTGCTGAAAGTGAGTGAGGAAGGGGGATGCCATGAACAGGGTGAAGCCTCAGGAAAGGGGTAGTAAGAAAGCAGGGCAAGGGTACTTGAGGTAGGTCTTACATTGCACTTAAGTGATCGTGTGGTTAAAAAGATTGACTGCCCCTAGTCTTTGTTTGTCAGGGCTGGAAATAGGATAGGGATCACTTGAGTACCTGTTTCTATTCTCTCTCAGACTGGGCTAGATGAACCTTTGATCTGACCCAGTATGGCCGTTCTTGATACAAAAATCTAGCTACTATTTACTTATCCATTTCTTCCTTTTTGATGGAGAAAGCCTTAGCAACAGGCACAAACCTCTAGCTGATGGTGAAGTTGAAACATTTTAATTATCTCAGTTGCTTAGTGATTTGTGCTCATGCCTTTGTCTTAGAGTCTGCCCCTCATTTTCAATTTGCATCATTTGTTCTAGTCTGTTGCACAGGTTCCAGTACACTCTTGAATGGTAATTTGTGCACGACAAAGTTGAGTAACTTCTAAATACTAATTTCCTGGGAGAAAAATGGTATCTGCTCATGGCTGTCATGCATGTTGGTGAAAGAGTAGCACAAACTGTACCCTAATCAACTATTTCAATGTTATGCACTGCCAGTTCCAGGATAGTCTAACTCCCAACGGACAGTATCAAAAAAGGACATTACCTTAACAGATCATTTCTTCCTATAGTTAGTGTACAGTGACGCACCATCCAATATTTCAGATTTACTTTAATTCACAACTATGTACAAGTTCATATTCATTTAAGGAATATCATATAACTGATACTTTCTAAAATTTGTATTATCCTATAATTTTCTATATACAGTAAACTATTTCATTGCTAGTACACATCAAGACACTTTAAAATCAAATACATTATGACTGTCTTAAATTTCTCTACTCAAGAAATTAAAATGACATGGGTACATTAATAAATAAATCAGTAGTTTTTAAACAATTCATAACTGTGCATTGTGCAATTTACAAGTCCTAAAGATTCTGCGAAAGCTTGAAGCTTGTACAGTGTCATATTGGCAGTTTATTTTAATGATAGGAAATGGACACGTGAAATAATCATTTTTAAGAGTCCATTTGATATTTCATTGCTCTACCTGTTTCACTGAAGGAGGTTCTAATTTTCGGGAGAGTGCTGTTAAAACCTGGTTGAATTTCTCATATCTCTCTCTCTGATTTACTTGTGCTCCTTTGCTGCCCCACAACAATCTCATTTGAAATTCTGTCTTGAAGATCTCACTCATCTCATCATCTGGCTGAAAACCTAATGAGGAGAACAGAAAATTTAGAACTGGGTATTATCTGAAGGCAGGGGTGACTGGTGCCAGTGGGGAGAGGGAATGCAGGGTTATTAAATTTTTGGCTGGATATAGGAGGGTGGTGCAACTCCCAAGTACTACCATGAGTCACCTATGCCTTAATACGGACTCTGTGGCTCAAAAGCTTGTCTCCCCTGGTCCAGCAAATCCCATTGTTTGGACCAAGGAAGTCCAACCTGTAGATATTACAGATGCTGATCTGCTAACAAAAGTCAATAAGAATTAGTATAGGTTTAACAGGGAAATACTCCTTTTCATGCAGCATGCTGCCGAAAGTCCCACAGCAGAAGTAGCATCAAGCCCTCAGACTATCCCAGCTGAAAGGAGGAGTTAAAACAAAGACACATTTCTGCTTAATTTACATTTTAACTTCTCTGAAAAAGCCTATAGCATATTCTCTAAGTTATTTTAGTTACTAATGGGAACTGGGACTCTTGGGAGAATCTGCAGCATCTCTTCATTACTTTAACAGAACTCCTCACACATTCTGAGACTATTGTACTGGTGAGACCCACAGCAAGATGTGCTCCTGCCAGTGTCCCTACCTTCCAGTTTCCTTTCTGCCGTCATTCGGTACATGTCAGCATTTTGTGCTATAAAACGGGCTGTGGCTAAATGCTTGAGCATTATTTCACAGCTTTGGTCAGTGTACTCCCAGAGGTCCAGCCCATCAAAAATGACAAACTGTCGCTCCATCAAGGTAACCCAGGGCATCAGCAGGGGCACAGTTATGTTGTTTTGTGGAACACAGATGGTCTCTGGAAGAGATGCAAAAAACACAGCAATCTTAAATACTGCTCATTTACAAGCTATTGTACAGTATTCTTCCCTAATCCGGGGACAAATAGGATCTGTTTGGTGTATTTTCCCTTCCATAGTATGCTTCAGTAAGCCTTCAAATTAGCATCTTCACTATCGAGCTCCACCTCCCATCTTACATTTCATATACTGATAAATCTAGAATCTATTGCAAAACTGCATCTGGTGCAGAGCAAAAGATCCCATCCCATCCCATCTATGTCCTCTGCCAAAGCATTAAGGATTGAAGCCCAGATCTACACAGGGATTACATTAGGGCCATTTTAAGTCAAAATTTAGTTCTTCAAAACCCCATTCAACAGCCACCTTGTAAGATAAGTGCATAAATTCCTTATGTGCCTAAGTTTCTGCCATTAAAGTACACTACCTGTGGGCATGGTGAGCTACCTAAGTCTGAATGCCTGGCAGGATTAACGGACCACGTGTTCCCTGCCCCTGCTGGTCTCATCTGGAAGACCAAATCAGGAAGATGTTATCTGAGGCCACCTAAGAGCTCAGGCCCTGCACTAAATATAGGAGGAGAGTGGTTCTGCTATCACTATTAGCTCAGTGGTTGGAGTATTCACTCAGAAAATGAGACCCCTGGTTTCAGGCTATTGCGTATCTTTTTCTGCTTTTCTTCTGAAAGAGGCTTTTCCAAAATTTGGCGCGTCTCCATGGTGCCAAATTTCAGAAAAACCTTCTTTTTCAGTACATCCCTTATTCCTTGTAAAACGAGGTTTCCAGGGATGACAAAAGAGCACGTCCACTTTTCTGAAACTTTTTTTCAGAAAAGCAGATGCATTCCTTGGATGTGGCAGTGCTTTTCCGGGATACCTCTGGTGGCAGGTTATTGAAATGGTATCCCGGAAAAGCAGTCCAGATGTAGCCTCAGTCCCCCCCGCTTGGTGTGGATTTGAACCCTTATCTTCCACCTCTCAGGAAACGAAACTACTGGATATTCTGAGGTAGGGCTTTCTCTCTCTCTGGTGAAGCTGCTCCACTTTGTGTAAGTAATTAGTTAGTGACTCAGACACGTGTGAGACTACAGCGAGTGGCTTGGGCACTCACCCAGGATGTGAGAGACCCACCTTCAAACTCTGGTGAATCCCAAACAGACCAAACTCCATTTGAGAAGCACTTCCTGTGAATTACTCAGCTTAGGTGGCTCCCCAGGACTTTCGTGGATTAAGCACCAATTCTTCTCATGCATTTTATATTGAGCATGGGTGCCTAAGCTCAGGGCTGTGAATTCCAGGGGCAAGTTATTGAAATGTTGAGCCCTTTAAGGATCTAACACTCCACCTATGATCCCACTGACTTCAAATTGAAGCATTTCTGGGGACTAAAGCTCCCTGTCAAAGCCAAAGGGAGTTTCCCCTTCTCCCTCTCTCCTAAGCATGGGGAAAATCCAGCTCCTGCTCCTCTTGGAAGGGGGTGCAGCTGGCATTAGTCTGAAGGGGGAACAGCAGCAGCTGCACCTGGCTAACAGTTCATGGGTCTCTGAGCCTTTCCAAAAGTAGAAGCAGCAACAGCACCACAGCACTGATCTTGCAAGACCTGAAAAATTAGCTTAGGTGGGGGACCCCGCTCTCCACTCCTTTACTTCTCCATGAAGATTGGTCTCCCCTGTTATTTGCCTCTCACCTCCTGGATGCAGAGTGAGTAGAGGTATAATTACACTGCAATCAGAAATGTGACTAAGGCTCATGTAGACATACCTGAGTTAGCTTAGATCTAGCTAATTTGACTGGCAATAGCTTTGAAGCCAAGTGGAGAGGAGTAGCAAGTTAAAGGCTATTCAGATTGAAAAACCTGTCATTTGCAGTAAAAGACTTAGTCCAGTTCCCTTAATGAAAACAAATGTGTAACACTGGCCTTCACCGCAGTCCGTTTGCAATCCCACATGCTACAAACTCACCTCCTCCTTCCTGCAGAGCTTTACTGAATGGCTTCAGCTGCTTTTCATACATAATGGCGGTTTGGGTGTAATGGTGCCGTAAAGTGGTCCATGTTTGTTCTAACCGTGCGATCTGTTTGATGCAAAGAAGAGAGTCCTATTTTAATTTTGCAACAGTTCTTATGCAAAGCAACTATCCTGTTTCTGGCAGACAACAGAAGGTAAATTCATACTGGTCTGTATCGTATTATGACACCTACTCTTGTGTATTTTATGCAACAGTTTGCCTCTTGCATTGTATCCTGCCATTAATACCTACTTTGATAATACCACTGGTCTGCACTAGGCGTTTACACCAAATTTAGCTGCACATGGTTGATTTCCAAGAAATCCTAGCATTTAGGCAGAATAATTGTATGTTCCCTGGGAAAGAGCCATAATTCTGTTTTGCTCCTCTGAAATGGCCCTTTATGGTCATGTAAGGCAAGTTTCAAACTAAACCCAGACACAACTAATGAATTCCTCTCACTCAAAAAATTAAAGCAGCATTCCTGATGCCACAACTGGCAATCTCTCTGGGCAACTACGGAATCACTCTCCTTGTGTAGTAGTAAACTTTTAGCCAACATTTAGCTGATGAGTCTCTGGTAAGTGATTTTAAAAGGGTTCTAAAGTTAATTTTAATGTTAGGGGAGAAAACGATAAATTGTTTTTTACTGGACTGAAAAAAAATTGCTGTACTATGTCTAATTTACACATAAGAAAAGCACATTTCCTTGTTTACAGACCAGCTAGTCTAAGTATTCTCTGTGTCTAAAGCTGTGATTCCAGGATTAAATATGGAAACTGTCTCCCAACTGGCATGACTGGAGAATTTTGTTTAGATAAATGTTACTAGCTGAATTCAGATAACATCCATTCTTATTCTACTTAGGGTTTTCCCTTTTTACTGCTGGTTGCTCAATAGTCTCTAATTATCACAGTGTTAATCTCAAAAGGTCATCTATACCCTGCAGGATCATTAAAAACGCTTTCACCTAAGAGCATAATAAAATACATTCAAAACAAGCAAATTTTTATAATTGCAAAAATAGTTGTTTTGTAATAAATTTTCTTTTTTAAAAAACATTAGTACACTTTAATAGCATTTAATAATACATTTCTTCTGTACTATTATACCAGCTTTGCATTACAATAAATAGACCCTTGTTCTACAAAGCAACAGTTTTCAGCTAGTTCTGGCATTGCAGGCAATGATTAAAAGTATTGTATATTCATAATGGCTAAAAATACTTTGGTTCTTATGACCATCTGTTTGCTTGGGGATGGGCCTTCTGTAAAGCACATCCCTGTAGTCTCCAAACACTTGTTTATGGGCTTTAAAATGTTGAAATGAGTTAACTAACAAACTCTTTGAATACCAGAAAGGGAACATTGCTTTACCTGTGGCATTTCAAGTGCTTTCATGACAGCAGAGAATGCGTATAAGTCCCCCAGGGAGTCTTTCAGTTCCACTGCTACCTGGATGATCCTGTTTAATGTTGCTGCCCTCTCTTCTAAGTTTCCTGTGCAGCCCAAAATATCCACAGCTATGCCTATTGCCATGGTGTTGTGTCTAGAGAGAAACAAGGCAGTGATGTCTCGATTAAACTGTTGAAGTAATAAGACGTGATCAAATAATACAGGCAGCACTTAGGCCTTAATGGCCCTAGGTAGGATTAAATGGATATTACTGACAATGCTGCTGTTACACAGAGCTCAGTGACAGCTGCACGCTTATGTGTTATACACCAACTATATCTTTGAGGCTTCAGGGTAACAGATCTGCCTTTATGTTACTGCACTTCTGGGATGGGGTCTCACTCCACACAGGATTGTAAGTAGGAAAGGTGGCCAGGTAGGCCAGTTAGCCATTTAGACTGCACCTGGAGGCATAGGTGACTGCTGGGGAGGGACACAAGGAGGCACTGGCCAGGTAACTGCCCTCCCACATGACTCCTCCCTTCACCACCCATAGCTTGGAGGATGGCTGTGGGGGGTGGGACCCCAGGACAACCCTCCCAACCCAGGCCCTGCCATTTTCTGTCCCTACTCCTCCTCTTTGCCCAAGCCCCTGCCCTTGTTCTGTCCTGTCACGCCCCCACTTCACCCTTTCTCCCAAGCGATGAGGCCTGGGGGCTAGCAGTGGACCTGACAGAGGCAGCTGCGGGGATTGGGTCCCTTGCACTCACCACCAGGAAGTGGAGTGACCCAGGCCTCTATTAGGGATGTTAAATATCGGTTAATTGAATAGTCGAGTAACCTCATGAATTCTTAGCGGTTAGTCGACTAACCGCCCAACTCCGAATACACTTTAAATGCAGAGCCACGGTGGGGGTAGGTCCCACACCCAGCGTGAGCCAGAACTGAGCCGGGCTCCTGACCAGCCTGCTAAAAAATGTACTGATTGGGGGTGGGGAGGGAAATGCGTGTCGTCTGTAGCATTAACCTACAAGCTTTTGCTTATCGGTTAATCAACTACACTATTACATCCCTAGTCCATGTTTCCTGTGAGTATGGGGAATGGTGATGTGGTTAGGAGCCCGGGGAGTGGAGCAGGCTGGAGCTGGGTCATTCCCGTTTCTGCTGCCAGCACATCTAGGGGCAGGCCCAACCTCTACTACAGACAACTGCCCCCCCCTCCAGTCCTCCTTTGCCCACAGTGTCACCCCAAAGCACAGGGCCTGGGGCGATTACCTCAGACTGTCGCAATGGCTTGGGGTACTAAGTGACTCCCACACATGTTAACCCTGCCTGGAGGAGGAGTCAGGGAGCAGGGATTAATGGGAAGCAGCTCAGGTGGATGAGGCCTGTGTTAAGCCCAAGATCAGAGAGCAGCAAGGGGAAGTAGTCAGCAGTCACTGCCTGGGAGAAGGGAAGCGTGTTTGGGACAAAGAGATAGGGAGCCTGTAGTCACTGCCTGGGAGGAGAGAAGGTTTGGGCTGGTAAACCCAAAGAAGGGGGAGAGCCAGAGAACTGGAGGGTGGGTGCGGGGAAAGAAAGCAACAAAGAACGGGATAGGGCAGACCTTGGCTACTGAAGAAATGGCCCTGGAGCTGGATGCTGGAGCACAGGGCAGGCCAAGGTTCCCCTCTCAGATTCAGACTCTAACTACCTGTTTTTCCCCTCTAAGCACTCCCTTCAAGAAGTTGCCTGATGATCTCCAAGAGTCCTCGTAAGCACAGAGCTTAGTATCCCAATAAATTACCTCTCAGTGCTTTTCCACATCGTATACGAGAATACTGTAAAGTGTTTGTTGGGAAAGGAAGGTATTTCTGCCTGGAGATTTAAGACACACTGATGCTCCAGCCAAGTACCACAGGAGCGAAACACAATGTAACAGGACGGTATACCTTTCAATTATGTCCAAGCGCAGTTGGTGTCCATAGGGCAATGTAATGAATTCCAGCCCTGAGCTCACTCCCATGCTCCGCCTCAGCTCTTCAGAGACCTCCAGTATCCTAGCAACCTGTCAAGTCCAAAGGTTCACACACACTGATCCAGGAAGTTGACTTTTTAAGGAAGGAGGAGTTTGAGTCCTTCCTTGTGTTACTCTAATTCACTCTACAGCTAGAACACTAATATAAAGCTATTTGAAAATATCCCCATTAAACAGAAGCATGCAGAATACATCGCACACAAGGAGGTTTTTTTGCAGAACCTAGAAATTCTTTGCTTTAATGAGTCAAGTGTATGAAAACAAATAATTATGACCAAAACCAAGGACTAATTCTTTGATCTAGTTTTAAAAAGACAATGCCAGAAAACAAGCAGCATCAGAAGGAGATTTTCGTTTCAGCCAAGAGCACTGTAGGGCTATCAAACACACAACAGATCTGATCAAGCACTCTACTAAAAGCAGATCCCCATGCACCCACGCACCCACTGAAGCATGGAGTGGTCTCATAGTTTGATCTTTGCTCTGACCCTAATGCATGATGCCCAAGATACTTAACCCCTTTGTCTCACTTTCCTCGTCTGTAAAATGGGGCTAATAATGTAAAAATGCTGCTTCTCCGCTCCCCAGGGCTGTTGTGAGGATACAGTCATGTACAAAAAGCGGGGAAAGGACAGTGTGAGTGCTCAGTGACCGACAGTAATTCATACAAAACCCCCTCTACTTTCCTTCCTTACTTCATTGGCCCTTGTTATTAAACACATGAAGATTATTTGCAATTTGTTTCATCTATACGAACTATTCATCTGTATTAATCTTAATAATGCTTCAGATAGTCTTTAAAGTGCTACCAGACTAACAAAACATGTAGATGTTATCATGAGCTTTCCTGGTTACAACCCACTTCTTCAGATGTCCAGTCATCTGAAGAAGTGGGCTGTGCCCACGAAAGCTCATGATACCACCTACATGTTTTGTTAGTCTATAACGTGCTACCAGACCATTTGTTGTTTTTTAAGTTTAATCTTAATAATGTTCATATTAGCTAATCAAATACTTATGGGTATATCTTTAATGTTCATAGGCTGACAAATTTCTAATCTAATCTGCCTTCTTATCATCATAGCATCTAAATGCCAACCCCTGTACGCAGTCGGATTAAGGCAACATGGGGCCCGGCACACACAATGACACTAGTAACCCAATGGCTTTGACCCCCTGGAATCTCCCCATCCCCTCCCAGAGAGGCAGTAGTAGTGTTAATCAGCATGAGTGAATGGATCAGGCCTACTGCTCATCTCCTTATGCCATACACAGTCCCCTAGTGGACTGGAGTTAGTGGGTGCTTCCAGAATCGGTATGACTGAGGCAGTTTCTCCTCTCACAGCTATTGCGTCTCACTATCTACAGAGAGGCAGATGTCACTCCCTCAGTTACATTAGCGTGTTAGAGTGGTCCTTCACAATTCTGAGGGCTACAGACTTCATTTTTTTGCATGAAAGCTGAGATTCTGGTGTAATCAGACTTCAGAAGCTGAGGTCTTATACACAGATCTATAGTGTGCAGGCTTTAATCTGGCCCTGTTAGTATGCAAATCTGGTGTAATACTTCAGAATTCTGTGATACCAATTGTAGACAGCCAATTCCAAATGGCTGGCCATCATTCAGCCCCAGCACACAGGCAACAAACAGATTGTCACTGCAAGTGCATCAAAATTAGTCCAATGGTCACAGTAATTGGGAGAAAAGCAGGACAGAAAGAGAATCATAGGCACTCAAAAGGGCCACACTGAGTGAAGCACAATACAGCCATCAGAAAGAAGTGTCTCGAGCCACCTTTGTTAGAAGTCTTAATTTTCTATCATGGAAGCAGACTTCTTAATTAAGTTTGCTAGTTTAATTACATCAGCTATGATTTCTGACTAAATTAGAGTATATCTAAGGGAATTACTTCAATCCAGACACACTTTAGCAATTAGATTGAAAGCCATTCTTCTTGGCATGATGGTTTTAAGATTCCATTTTTAAAATCCTAATCTGCAGTATAAGGAGAAAAAGTACCCGATTGGATTGCACAGCGCTTTGCAAAAATGAAGAAGAAAAAAAACGTTTGAAAAGTGTTTTTATTAGCACTATTGATTTGTCAAAGAGGCTTAGAAAACATGACCAACAAGGAAAGGTTGAAAAATTGAAGGAGACCTGGAAAGTCTTCAAATATGATAAGGGCTGTTAGAAGGAAGACTATGAACAAATGTTCTCCATGTCCTCTGATTGTAGGACAAGAATTAATGGGCTTAAATGGCAGTAACTGAGATTCAGGTTAGATATTAGGAGACCCTTTCTAAATATAAGGATAGTTAAACTCTGGAATAGATTTCCAAAGGAGGTTGTAGAATCTATCACTGGAGATTTTTAAGAACAAATTGGACTAGCACTGTCAGACACGGTTGTTTAGTTCGTCCTGCCCGATGACTTCTCGAAAACCCTTCTTATCATATACTTCTATGACAGTAAGGTAGCCAAATTCTGGCATTTCTTCTGAAAGGGTGGTGCAGAGGTGGAGTTGTTGTGTGGAGGTTCCCTGAGTCCCTGTGTATGAGGGACAGATGGGGGTCAGAACGGCCCAGGAAAGGCTAGGGAGAACATTCAGAAGCAGCTACTGCCACAGTAAGAAGCAGTATATGCTACTTCAGCATCTACTGTGCATGCCAGTAAGTGGGTAGAGTGGGTGCACTCACCACTCTCCTCCACACCTGGCTACTCATACTCCCTTGGAGTTTTGGAGTGACTAATTAGCATGCTAGCATTGAGGGAGTACTACCATAGCATTTTGTTGTGGAAACTGACACAACCGGATTCTTTCTACCTTGCAGTGTAAAATCCATGTCAGGGAGGCTCACTTGTCATTACTCACTACACCTGCTGCACCATTTCTTCATTTTTATGGCCGACAGTAGTAATAAGTCCTATTCGCCAACCTGACTCCTAAACGAAACTTGGAGAAACTGGGCGCTTCTCTGTGTAAATTATTAGAAACCACTGAGGAGTCGGGGGAAGCCCCTGCTAGATCACTGAGTAGGGGACTTGCCAGGCCCCTGGACGGGGGAGGGGCGGCTCCACACTCCTGGAAGGGATGAAGTCTCAAGCAAAAGGAGTGGAGCTGAAGGCAGCCATCCATGCCCCTATGCCCCATAACCTTTCCCTGGCAGCCCTCAGAGCCGCCTGGAGTGCTCTGTATGGAGCACCAGTGGCAATTTTAAGGGCCAGTGGCTCCCAGCTGCTGCTACTGCTACTGCCTAGAGCCCATAGTCCTTTTGAATAACCGGGCCCCAGAGCAATTGTCCCTTTTGCCTCCTCTTCCCTGTCAGTAGCCTCCTGAGCACCCAAATTTTTTTTATAAACTGCCTCTCTTCTAAGCCTCATGCTCAAGGAGTAGCAGAGGAGACAAATGCTGTATCCTTATGAGGCAAGTTTTATATTAAACAGTGGAGAGAGGAGTTTGAGTTATAGCAACACAATGATATTCACGGCATTATCCATATTTGCTTCAGATGGAGCCATTACCCCTCTCTGGATACTGGGCAGGTAACATAAGTTTCTTTAATGCAATTGGAAACGATCACTTTTCATTAATATAGTTCCCAACCAACTGGTGCACTGATTTCACCTCACGTGTGTGCGCAAATAAGCCATTGGGAAATCACTACAATACACCACCCCTTTGGCCTCTAGCACCTTTTAAAACAAGCCTTGATTATGTTTTACAGGGAAGCCTGCCTAACAAGAGGCAGAAGGGCTGAAAAGGTCTTTCCATTGTTTCTGCATGGAGCTGGCTGGTGCTACCACTATTTAGAATCAATCAATCAATCAACAGCCATTCAATTCCAATGACTATAGAACAGATTGTCTAGAGTGTTTAATGGAGTGGAATGGAGCTGGTGGTCATAAGAAGGAAATGCTATTTGAAACTTTGTGTAGATCTTGTATTTTGAAGCATACGCATCACAATTATGACATCCCCCAACTTCCGTGGATTTCATTAGAAACGGTGCTACTGATTTCAATGGAAACTGGGTGCCTAAATTTTTGAGGATCTGGAACCAGATTCACACAGGAGTGACAGACATGCCACGCTTTCTCCAGATGCTGTGTCTGAAAAGAATACAGCAATCACAACCATCCGCTTCAAATGACTTAAAATTCAAATGGGTTTCACCTTCCCTTTCAGTACAATTGTTACCTTCTAAAAAGGGCTGTTTGTACTTGAATCAGCAACATGGAAAACAGAAAAGAGAAATTCATCACATGAACAAAACCTGCCTCCTTGTAAAATATCTGTGCACTGCTGAGGCTTGCTAAGTATACAACTAGAGGGTACAAATGGCACGTGAGGGCAAAACTGCAGCTACCTTCTACTACCTCTCATCCCGTCAATGCCCAAAGATCCACACAAGAGTTACAAGAGCAGTATTCAGACAGGACGCTAACACAGATTGTATTCTATTCAGGTCCTTATCTCATGCCCCTCATTTTGGTATTTGCATGCCTTCCGGTAACATGAGCAGTATGCAGCGTACTCTCTCTCTCTCCCTTTCTCTCTCTGATATGGAATTCATTCCCTCAGAATAAATATAATTTTCCCTAATTTCAATTTCATGATTCAGCATTTCTGCAATAAATAAATGTACAACAAACACAGAGGACATCAAATTTGTGTGTTAAAAACATTAGGGACAACTCAGAGGGATTTCTGATCCAGAGACAAAATTGTAACTTTTTTCCAATCCTACCCCTTGATAAGGCCTCGCAAATCTCCTAAGTAAATATATTTATATATATTAATATATATTGTCTCAATTCTCTCATTTAATTCTTTCAAATCCCTTTTTTAAAAAATCTTCATCTGGTAGGGTATCCAGTAACATGCAGAAAAATTATTTCCCTTTCCAATTATTAAAAACCAAATAATAATAAAAAAAATTACCTTGCAGTCCATTCTAAGCATATGCTGGGCAATAATTTTTGGATTACTGTTGGTGAATAGCTCCTTAACTTTTTTTAACATAGGTGTTTCCAGTGGCTTGTTTTCAGGAGGAAGAAGTTTGGATTCAAAATCATTTGGTTTAAAACTAGATTCTGTCTCAAGAACAGGTGCCACAAACACGCTGGCCTCTTCAGCCATTTCAGTCCGGAGTGCTAATGGATCCATTGAGCTCAATAAGGCATCATCCTCATGGATCAGATAACTTTCTTCAGAGTTCCTGAATGAGAGCAATCCATTCTCTTTAGCTATCAGATGTTCCACATAACTGCTCTTCTGAGACAGAGGTTGCTGTGTTGCTTCACAGTCTATGGAAGTGGCAGGGTTTAATTCACAGTAGTGCGCCTCTGAACTGTGCCAAGCTAAAGGAGACTGAGGTTGCCTCAGAAAGGGCACTTTGTTGGGTTTAGGTGGAGGCTTGGGACAGAGCTGACTGTCTGATCCTCTAAGAGCTTCTCCTACTGGCAACTCAGAGGCAACCCTCTGACCTACAGTGGGGCTTAGAGTGGGTTCACTGCCTGTTCTAAACGTGGGGGAATTTGAACGTGGATTTGTATCTACTTCAGGTAACTGAAATGGATGCCTCAAACCTGTAAGTGAAAACAGAATAATTTTTTTATGATGTAACAATGGCATCTAAGGCAAAACTACATATAATCCTGAGCTATACTCTACAGTTCTTTTTTGTTGCTATTATTTACTGTGGTGAGAGGGGTGTTTCAGATCATGTAACTTCTTCATTTTGTCAAACACTGTTTAAAACATAAAAAGATGAGATTTCCACCTATTTGCATCTTCTCCCCCCTACCCAAAATAAAAGCCCAAAGAGCCCTGCGCTAACTCTCACAATAACCCACAATACACAGAGGCTGGACAGTCAGAGCTGGAAAGTCTTGGGTTGGAACAGGAGTGAGTTTGTAACTTGATCTTCTAGATAAAAATGGAATCTTATAGCTGTACCACACAAGAGCTATGAGTCATTTTTAAGAATGACAAGTTTTGAAATAAAAGAAAAACTTCTTTAAAGTAGAGTCTAGGCTTGTAGTGAAGTATGAGAGGAATGAACAGCAGGGTTTCTAATCCTATATCTCTTTTAAAAAACCAAACCAAAACAGTTAACTCAAATATAAGGGAACGCGTGTGCACTGTAATATTTACACAGAAAGGCCCCATCCTGCAGTTATCACACAGCCAAACATCCCAGTGGGTTGGCTGCAGGATTCTTCCTTGTTTGACTGATAGGGGGAACCCTTACAATTTTCCCCTCGGGGCTCCGTTATGGACTACTGAACAGTCATCAGATGCTAACTGTATGTCATACTCTAAAACCCGAGACGTTGAATTTCACATGGGCTCCAATCTCTGAAAATCTCTACCATGTTACAACGTAACCTGAAGTCAGGAGAGCAGGTTGACTGCTTGCTAGCATGCATCTTGTAAGGAGTTTTTAGAAATCTGTCTACTGACATACCTGCTGGCAGGTAGCTTTCTGACTGATGAGTCTTTAGATGGAATCTTTTCTCCTGGACATGATCCAAACTAGCTGGCTGGCTACCACTTTTTTCTTTATTTCTGAGAGGGGGAAAAGCCAATACAACAATGTATTATTAAAGTGCAGTAGGACTCTTGTATAGGGCCAGTCTTTAGTTGTGCCAGAACTCAGGGGAGTTCTAAGCTTCTCACTTACAGTGGTTCAAAGGGGCCAGTGTGGGCAAAGATCTGGCTCTCCACATTCAGTGCTGAGTTATTGCTTTGTGCAACAAGGCAATAGATCTATAATCATACAATAAAATTAATGCTATTATAGGTTTGCAGACTTTTGCATGCTGGGCCCCCCTACAGGACACCTCTCACTCCCAGTCCTGTTGAAGCAGAGGTCAGTTTTGGGAATTCTTTTCCCTCCTAGCTATCAAGAAAAGGAGCGAGATTGTGTCCACTGGTTAGGTGTGTGTCACAACCCTCAGGTTAAGAACCCATTTTCTAGTGATACCGAGACCACAGTGGTTCAGGAGCCAAACCATCAAATCAACATTACCCAAAAGAGCCACAGTAGTGTGACTTCATTGTTTCATTTACTAGACTACCAACTATTCAGATTTAAATAGTATGGTGAGGGAAATATTTAGTTTATTCTCACACACTACTAAATCACACACTATTTTAATATTACGTGCTGCAAACAGCTGCAGGAGACACATTAAAGAGTCTCTTGACAGTGGTGATTTTCATTCCAAGTATCACTGTGCTAACAGAAAACAAAGCTGCCCTTCTATTTCTGCCCTGATTCACTCACAGGAGAGTAAATAAGGACACGCTTTGGTTTATGCTCCCAGGAAAATCAGATACCGGATAGTTATTTACAGGCTTTGGATGAATGACTTGCTCAGCCAACATACATTTTTCATGAAAGGCATTAACAGTGTCTACCAACTACATTTCTAAGTACAAGAACAGATCTCGTTAGCAGCCCAGACCTGACTGATGCACAGACACATCTCTGCATCCACTAACTTCACTATGACTCTTCATGGGCTCTCCTCCCCAAGTCCCATTCAAGTCATGTTGGCTTCCTACAGCCATACTGGTCCAGCTGTACAGATCCGATTTTAGGATCCAGGCCAGAATCTCAGACAACGATTTGGAATTTTTGTAGTCAGAAGGCACTTTGATGTCCTTTTTTGTTGGAATGCTAAGACTTTTTTCAATCTAACAACTGTACTGGGCATTAATGAAGAACTATAATCCACTGACTGTCTCCTTCCAGTCCACTGGCTTTATTAGCACATTGTATTTTAATCCAATCACGTTCTCTTTTTTTAAACTACCTTAATCCGTTTGTGGCATTTCCCTCACAGCAACAGAAGATAAAGGGCTCACCTTGAGAGTAACAAACCTTTTATTTACTTATCCTTCAATTTATATTTAGTATTTTTATTATTTTTTAAGCTACTGCACCAGCTGCACAATTACTGTACTTGCCCAACCTGTGTCTGATCTCACTCTGCTGTGACACCACTGACTTCAGTGGAGATGCTCCTGATTCACATCAGCGTGAGTTAAGGGAGAACCAGCACTGCTCAGCCCAAACGCCATCTCACTGAGGAAATGGATTTCACAGCAAAAACCCTACATCGTGTTTTTTCCAAAGATATTTTAGAGTTGATTATTTTCAGAATCCAATTACAAAATCCAAATACATCTAGTTTGTTAGAATATCTGTACATTATGAGCTTGATGCCATTTCAAATGGCATCAGTAATGTCTGTGGTTTACATTAATATAAATGACAGAGTGACTGTAAAGGTCCTCACTACAGCTGTTCGTCCTCTCAGGCCTGAGCCAAAGTTCATGTGGGAATCTTTTCACTGAGCTTTGGAACAGGTCCTTAAAATGAGTTACTAGATGAGACTGTGAGGCCTGATCCTTTCCCCATGAAAATAAAGGGCAAAACTGCCACTAACTTCAAAGAGAACAGGATTGGATCCTTTAAGGATGATGGTGGAACATGAGAAAAATACCTTAAAAGATTTCCTCTGGTTAAGCTGTGCTCCTGGGGCTGCACGCTGCATATACTGAGGCTCAGTCTTCTTGCAATCTCTGTTTTGCCTTCAGTGATATTGCATTCTCTTTGTCGAACGGGAGACACACCGTACTTTTCCTCTAGACACCTCAGTGGCACAGTCCTGTTGATAGGCTGAAAAATAATGGCTCCACTCTGCTTTGATACTGGCCTGCGGTTCCCCACGTAACATCTCACGAGTCCAGGGATGCTGTCGAAACTTTCAAGTTCAAACTGATACTGAACACGGCAATAGGCTTCATTGAGTCTGAGGATTGTTCGGTTGATTTTGAAATGTTGAGAGATGTTTTTCCATTGACAGGTAAGAACAAAGTTTCCAGGACTGGAGAGAGAGTCCCTAATCAGGAAATCTCCATCTCTCTGAACTAGGCTTTCTGCCACCTTAGAGAGAAAATATACAAATCAACAAAAACAAAACAAAAATCCACAATCAGAATCAGAAGGTGAATACTCAGTCCTAGCCAATATCTCATCAGCAGAGTCCTGGAATTTCATCGTAAATGGAGCGCCCAATTCAGGCTGCTCTGCGAGTACAGGTTTAAAACCAGAAAATCCAGGATGGAGGAAAAGCATGAGGCAGAATGTTGCTCTCTCATGCTGGATCCTTCTAAAATCCAGAACCAATCCTCAGACTTCCTACAATAGGAATTGGGGAGGATCCTCTAGGACAGGGCTAGAGAGTGGGGTCTACATATTCATATGCATGCATCCCCAATTTGTTAAAATAAATTAATCAGGGAAAGGAAATGAACTGGGACAACTGGTGTCTTCAGGAGGAAGGAATGCAAGGGGATACGTGGGGACACCCTATTTAGCAATTAAAAATTTTGGGAGGAGCATAGGAGGCAGCACACCTACCAAGTACTACCACTAGTCACCTATGGAAATGAAGTTACTCAGAAAACTAGGGCACATAACACAACTTTGTTAATGTATGTCCACCATTTTAAAGACCATTACTGTAGGCAACCAGACTTTGCCTTTGAGTTATCACATCCAGTTACTTTAAGCGAGACAAAGAGCTATTTTTAAAATGGGTTTCATGCACACATTCCTCTTTGTTTTGCAGTATGGACATCAAAGTGGAAAAACTCTGTTTCTTTCTGAACCAAGCTGGCCCTTTTCATTTGACAAACATTAATTCATTCTTTTTCAAACCACAAAGCTGCCTTCTTTTGGCTACTCTGCCTGATTTCAGCATCTGCTGATGGCAGCAGGAAAGCACTTAAGTGCAAGTACAGTGTTTGCCAGATGCATATTGATAACGACCCAGAAGGGGGAGCTCACGACGTTTATGGTGCAGAAGACCAAAATAAAGAGAGCGCCACATCAAATAGCATTTATTATTACTACTACTAGTAATAATATTTGTATGCTGTTGTATAATTTCAAAAATAGGAAACGTAGAAGACAGGAACATTTTTTAATTTTGAATAATCATACTGATCTAAAATTAAGCCAGCAGGTAAACATCAGGGGACAGAGTGCAGCTCTTCACTGGATAATTTTCTTGTGTGCTAAAGTGTAAGAAACATTGGATTTCTTACCTATTTCTTCCCTCGGTCTCATCTCTCACTAAGGATTATTAAGTAACCAATATCAGAGCCAGCTTTGCTCTCCTGGGAAGGCAGTCAGGTTCTATTGACTGGTGAGCTCATGCAGAATGGGTACGTAACACTGACGTGTGGACCTGTATCTGTACATGGAAACCCACAGCTTTGCCTGTGAAGGGAAGACCCAGGTGAGACATACCTGCCGAGGAATGCGGCCATGGTACCAAGCATGGCTACGTAAGTCTTCACTACTTAACTGTAGCTCTTCCTCTAACTCCTTCTTCAGTTTTTCCGGGGTGCTGTCCATAACCTGCCTCTCTTTAGAAAACTGCAATAAAGATTAAAAGGTTTGATTGTGCCAGGTTTAGTGATTAACATTTTATATGACACAAAACTTTCACCCTATGCGTCACACACTCTGCAATAGCTTCTGGAAGACGGGTGCTATATTTAAAAAGCTGACCTGCCTTTGATCTCGCTAACCTGTATTTGCAAAAACTAGTGTCAGGTGAGAAGGTGCGTGATGACGACACTCTGTACTCAGTGCATAAAAAATGTCACATCTGTGCATCAAGAGATAACATGCACCTGCTCAGCCACTTCAGCAGTTGCATCTTCCTGGTAAGAATTACATGTTCAATAAGCAGCAGAGATGGACAACCCCTCTCCAACTTTGCAGTTTAATTCAGATCTGAACTCTGCTCTTTCGTCCCATGCTAAGAAAGAATTTCCTAAACTATCAGGGCACATATGGACTGTACAATACAGTATTTATGCAGCATGTGAAATATCTGCCTTACTAAAGGCTTAAAACATTTAATTATAAGTAGAAGTGCAGACTCCTTGAACCCTGCATCTCCAGGCAATTCTCCTTAATCCTTCTTGAAGAGAGCAAAAATCTTGGTTCCCATTAAGACACCTCCCTACAAGTAAGGCCTTCTGGGGGATTTTCTCCCTTTCAAAAAGCACAGGATATTGCTATGTCCCTCTATTCCCAAATGACACACCACTTCCATCTGGGGCCTTAGTCTTTCCTTGGAATGTGACTTTGGTGATCCGTGAAGGGTGAGGGTCCCTTTCCCCAGAAACTCTAAAGATATTGTTTTCCAATTTTTCATAAGCTCTTCAAGGAGAGAGTTCTTTGGACATTCTAACTTCTTCCAAAGGGCCTGTTATTCAAACCCTACATTTAACGTTGCTGAAATGCCTACAAAAGCCTCCAGATATTTAACTATCAAATATTTTAATGGGATTCGGCTATTGGTGGCAGCCAACATAATACTACATTGATCCTGGAAAGAGACAAAAAAAAAAAAAAAAAAAAAAAAAAAAGCCACAGCTAAAGTAACACAATTTTGGGCACCTGATGAAGTAGGTTACCATGCAACAGTAACCACAAAACTTCCTCCTCATGGCCATAATAAACTTTTATGTTTAAGTAACTGGGATGGGATCCAAGGCTCCTAGCTTCCTTTCACAGGACACTTTGATTAAATGGTACAATTAAAATGACTGGAGAACACTGCTGTTCATCCACCGATCACAGTTTTTCTATGAATACTGTGCTTTCTAGAGTTTCCACCATTTCATTCAGCATATAAGGGAGAGCAGATTACTTATTTTTGCACTCCCATCAACAAACCTCTGTGCAGTCTGAAACAGACCAAGTTACAAGTTTGTGAGAGAAAATGGAAAAATGTCAGGAGAGGAGGGCATTTTGCCACCCATATCGTTTACAGCACATTCATC